AATATGAGTACGTGACTTTACAAAAGTCTTTGATGATTCTTCATTGCTTATAAAGATGATCAAGGCTTATAAAGTTCGCTGTGATCCAACTACTGCCTACTGTTCTAACAAGATGTTTTGCTATGCTGCCACCTGTGTCTTAGCTATGCTGGATTATTTTCAGGTTCCTTGAGCTCGCCATTGTATTTCTTACTTTAAGACTTTACATACCCTTAAAAAAAAGTGTCTGAAGTACTCTCCTCAAATAAACCAGGATAACTCTTGGCCCATTTCTGGACACTCACTGCACATTCTCCTCTTTTCTTAAGATTTCTTTGATTCCTGTTTCTTTGCTTTTCATCAGGGTTAGTTGATTACTACACTGCAGATGCACTTCCTTCAGCACATCTATTGCAGCACTGCATTTCCTTCATCACATCTATTGCATCATATCTCCTGGATGAACATGTAAACTCCAAAAGGGCAGGCAATGTCTTTCTCGTATTTGCAACTTCAGTACCAACTAGTGTCTGCCAATTAAGTTGTTATTAACTTCCCTCCTTTGAACAGATGAGTGAACCCTATTGTTGTATTGATGACACCCACAATATCTGGATCATCTGGATCCTGTCATCAAACTAATCAGAGAGGGATTGCTGATCAGCCTAGTCCACATTCTCAGATTACTTGTTGAAGGAGAGTTGTAGAAATGTGAGTATTTTGTCACACATAGGTGGAGCTCAACCGTCTATTCTTTCAGGCTTGGCCAACCACACCTGATAAAACTCATCAGGAAAGGTATTAGGAAGAGTAGGGCAAGGATTTAAAAGAAGAAAGCTAGCTAGTAATGTTGTTGGAAAATAAAGACTATTGGCTATTTCCCTAATCCCCATATATTCACATCTAAAGCGTGTGTTGTACACTTTGGGAGGCAACCTAACCCTCATCCAGCCTCTGAAACTACACCAACTGGAGACAATTGCAGGCTTTAATGCATTTTTAAATGTTAATTGGAATAAATTAGTTTTAATGAGATGTGACTTTGTTTGTTGGTTGATTGGGTTTTAAGACATCCGGCCAGCCTAGTGATCTAACAAACAGTATTAGAGCTGACAAAAAATCTTATCTTGAGAATTTGAGGGAGAGGAAGGGTTGACATACTTTTAAAGTCCTCTCGACAAAAGGGAAAGAATGATACAGCTGAGTGAGTTGTGGAGAAGATTTTAATATTTAAAGAATTTAAAAATTTATTTGAAAATCTATCATCTATCTATCTGTTTACCTATCTATGTTTATCTATTGTCTGAGAGTGAGCTAAGAGTGTAATGCCCACCAAACTAAGAAAGTATCCTGAGACCAAAGAACGAAGCAGGCAACTCCATATGGTTTACAAGGAGTTTATTATTATCATTGTTCTTATCATCATTATTATTATTATTGACAGGTGGCTACTTACAGGAGATGGATTGGGAAGACTATTGATATGAATGCTGCCCAGCTGCTTTCTTTGCAACCCTGGGAGTGAGGAGAGTTGAAGGTTATAAGGGACTTCAAAATGGAGGTATGCTAGAGAGAGAAAGGCTGCAGAAGTGGAAGATTCCTAGGCACCTTGCAGCCTCCTGTTGCTTATCCTTGGGGTTGCTGGCATCCCCTTATCTTACAAAAGCACAGCATTCTGTTCCTTTCCCTTCCTCAGTTGCTAAGCAGCCTGTGCAGGGGAGAGATTGTAATCATTGAAGCCAGAGCACTGAAGGCCCCACGGATGGAGTGAGTTCTGACCAACATTCCTATAATCTATCTATTTTATCTATCTTTCTGTCTATCATTTATATCTGTCTGTCTATCTAATCTATCAACTCTAAAAGAGGAAACATGAACTGATATTTAAGGGAAAGAAAGTAAGGGAAACTTAACATTTGATGTATGCCTTCTGGGTTTTAGAGTTCTATGTCAAGTAGCCTGATGGAGTGGAACATACTTGGGTTTTTGGGTGAGTAGAGTCTGACTTTAAATTGCCACTGTACTGCTTATCAGTGATGTGGGTTGAGTAAGTTTTTAAACTTCTCTGACCCTCAATTTTGTCTGTAAAGTATGGATAATTTTTGACTTGCAAAGTTGTTTTAGGCAAAATGTCTGAAGCATAGTGAGTAGGCATTCAATAAATTTTAGTTTTCTTCCTTTAATCCACAGTGGAATAAATAAAACAGATATTGAATGTTTTGTATCAAATCAAGTTATAGAAAGCTACTACCAGTAGACTGGGACTCAGTTTTCTGATTCCCAGCCTTAGAGAATCTTAAAATATTGAATTTAAACTAGGGGTAATGTGCCTACATTTGTATCTAAGTTCTTGAGCTTTTTAGATCCTAATCTTTTAGCCAAAGCCGATTATCCTATTCATTTCTCCTCTCTAATAACCTGACTGTGAGAAGCTGCTTTTTCTACCCTTCATATCTGTGTTCTAATTCAGGACTGATAAATAGCCATCCTTCAAGCTTTAATCCAGAGGTAGTTGGTAAAGTCAGAAACACATCTAAGTGATTTGTGACCAGATGGTGATCCTCCATTTCATCCTTTTCCAAATTACTGTACTTTATTTGTAGGCAGTAGGAGGATACAAGCTTTTCATCAATGTACATCAAGGAGAAATGAAAAAATAAGCAATATGAGAAAATTTAAGATTTATATAAATAATCTTTAGAAAGTTGACACATTTCTCCTTGCAAATTCCATACCTCTCTGTGCTAGATGGCTTCATTACATAAAGCACATACTTGTAAACTTTTCCTGCTGGTAATTCTATATACTTGTAAACAGAGCTTCACTCACTTTCACTTACCATGTTCCCCAAAGATTAGATAAGATTTCTTAAAACAGGTTTCAGAGTCTGTATTAGTGGTATTTTAATTGTGCCAAATAGATTATTATTAGAGAGGAAGCTGCCATCTTTTTCCTGGCCTAATTAATTTCCAGTACAGTCCAGTGTTGCCTAAATCTTTACCCCTTTCTCTTTTCCTACTTTCTCTTGCTCATTTCCTCCACAGCTCACACACTCACCTTTGATTGCATTAGAATGCACAGCACAGGTTGCACTCAGCATGGAGTATTAGAAGGTCTTCTCTGGTTGTCAAAAGCTATTGGAACACAGGGGGCTATGTCTTACAGTCTAACGAAATAGCAATGCATGCAGTGTGTCTAGTACAAAATGACCTTCAATTTCCCTCATCTAAAGGTCATCTTTATCTAGTCTCCACGTGGGATCCGAACCCTCGGCGGGAGCGCCGCCGCTCTCCCAAGCGGCGCACTCTCCAGTGCGCCACCAGGCCGGCCCATATGATTTAAATCTCTAATGGTTCTTTGATAATTAGGGTTTATTCAATGAATGAATGGTGATGGATAGATTTGTGTGAATTAGTTACTATTTAGGGTTAACTACCATATACATAGTCTCTGTGTATCATTAATAGTGTAACAGTAAGTTTATTTTCTTTCACATATGACTAGTGTTCTGTTGATCACATAGCATGATTGAAAGTTTGTAAAATAAAAAATCAAAAACCAGTTAGATATTATCTGAGTCTAATCAGAAGAATGAGCCTGTTTTTTGGGGGAGGGGGAGAGGGTGGCTGGCTCATATAACTTCTGCTTCTGGTAGGGGGTTGTGATCTTGAACACTCACTGATGAGTTTCACTTTAGTGAAGGTGGGAGAAGAGTAGCTTGCTCTGGGGGCAAAGAGAGGGTGGTGAAGCACCAAATTCTGATTGGGGATTATCACTGGTTTTGATTAGATTAAATATTGTTTTCTTGGCTTTTTTCTTTTAACCTGTAAATTGACAGGGTGACCTTTAAAGTCCTTACTAGCTCTGACATTCTGGACATTTTCATTGGGTTTTATAAGAGTAAACTTTCTCCTGAAGTTAGTATATTTTGTATGTATTTTTTTACTCCTTGTTACTTGTTTTTCTTCAACTGGAAACTTCAGGACCCCATTAGCTTTCAGTCCCGTTAGCCTCCATTGGTAGAGATATTTTAATTAATATTTTTGACAGAGAAAATCCATGGTACATAACTCTTATTTCCAAAGCTTGGGTTGTCTCAGGAAATAGACACTTGGGGTTATGTTTGACAATGATTGCTATGATGATTAGGATTGACCAAAGCATCTGAGGCCAACTCATTAGTATAAAGCCTTTCTTTCTGGAATGCTTTGGACAGTGATTAGATTGAGGAAAAGTTCAGATGTGGTGGAGTTTTGCCTTCTTTGGACTACTTATAGTTTATATCAGAGTTCTTCACTGCCATTAGATGTCCAGAGGTAGAAGAAAAATATGCATCTGACTCCATGGCAGGGAACTATATTTGTGTTTGTGGAGATGAAAGAGAAGAGAAACTATACTTCGATGAAAAGTTTATTAACAATTTGTATGCAATATAATTTTCTGAATCCTAGATCCAGGAGGTCATGACAATAAATTCCAAAATAGTAGTACAGAGTTCCAGTGGTGACACCAAAAGTTGCAAATATTCTGAATCTACACCTAGGGAACTATCACATTCTTTGTTCAGAACACAGAATGTGTTATAGTGTTACTAGAGAAATTCTGGCTCCTAAATCACGTCTTTTAGCTCCTGGATAGGTTTGTTAATATTTAATTAAAATGAAATCTAGAAAATCCAAATTTTGAGTCTCGGAAATAAAAACAAATGCTCATTTTATCCAAAAGCTCCCAAATAACTTTCTAATATAGTTCAGGATATAGTCCTAAATGTTATTTACTTCCTCCATTAACTACTTTCTAACCAAGGAGCTCAATGATTATGGAGCCATACCCCCCCCAAAAAAAATCTTGAACCAAACAAAAGTAAAAGAGTAGAGTGCTACAGTTAAAATAAAAGAACAGACATATATCCCTACTACCAAAAGAAGAAATCATGTTAAATATCTTAATTTCATGTTGTGTGCCTCATTTCTTCTTTGAGCTAGTTCTTATCTTGAGATACTTTATTTTCTATTGGTTTCTTATTCAAAGTCATAACAACACCTTTGTTCTTGGACATATTCATAGAGTGGAGTGTTGCTATCTAAGTAGAAGGAACCTGAGTCAGTTCTCTCCCTTCTGTTGTAAGCTCTGGCCTCAGAGCCTCTTGTCTGCTTATCCTCCACATCCAGACTATATCTTTTGATGCCCTTTGACAGGCTTGATCCTGACTCTTGCCTTTGCCTTCTGCCACCCCATGTGGTTGTACAGCTTGATAAACACCTATACCTACACTCTTCTGTTCCTGTAGGGTCTTGCCTATTAAGAAAGTCATTGAAAATGGGTCTTTGACTACTACTGCTGTCAGTTGCCTGCTCATAGATATCACTTGATTGACCATGGCTATATACTTGTCTTTCATTGTTGCTGAATCCAGATTGACTTTGAGTGTTTCCTGATTGTCCGTGACTCGATCCTAGTCTTGCTAAACTTGTGCTGGGTCTTACTTGCTCATAAACAGTTGTATCTCCCATATGATGCTGGCTTGATCCATGTATACCTATTGCATTGAACTCTGACTTATCATGCCCAGATACTAATTGTTCGTGGTTCTGTTTCCCCCAATCTTCTGAGTGCTCTTTATTGTCACTGTAGGATCCCTGCATTCTAGTTGAACTAGATTCAGAGTGGCCATGAGCTGATGTAGATTGCTCATGGCCAGATGCAAAGTGGTCACTAGACTGGCTATCAATAGATCCTTGCCTTCTGGCTGTCCTATATCCAGCTTGAACATGGATGTCATTTAAATGTTCATGAGTTACTACTGAATGCCCATTACTAGATATCTGCCATCTAGTTACACTGGATACAGACTGATTATGGGAATCAATTGATTGCCCATTACTTGGCTCTGACTGTCCATGATTTGAGCCCTGCCTTCCTGTTCTTTTGATTGCTTTGGATCCTCTATGATCAAAACTAGAAAATGATTGTTCATGTCTATACACTTGCTTATTTGTACCTATATCTGTTAACCTCAAAGGGCTAGAATTACGGCTGCTAGTTCTACTGCCCCCAGTAGGCCCAAACCCAGACTGACCATAGTCATATTCGGCACGCCCATAGCTTCCATGCTTCCAGCCACGACTCGATCCAGGGTACTGCTCATGACCAGACTGTGCAGATCTCGTGGTATGTTCTGACTGTCTGTGAGTAGTTCCCTGTCTCCCTTGAACTGAGGTTCTGGACTCCCCATGTTGAACTCCATGCTGGCCATGAGTGGATTCTGAGTGTCTGTGTGAGACTCCTGAGTGCTCTTCACTGTCGCTGACCTGGCTGTGACTAGATCCCCTTCCTCCAGTTGTACTGGACCCTGACCTTGGGTACTGCTCATGACCAGCATGGCCATGTCTAGTGGTATCTCCAGACTGTCTGTGAGTAGTTCCCTGTCTCCCTTGAACTGAGGATCTGGACTCTCCATGTTGAACTCCGTACTGGCCATGAGTGGATTCTGAGTGCCTGTGTGAGGCTTCTGAGTGCTCTTCACTATCACTGACCTGGCTGTGACTAGATCCCCTTCCTCCAGTTGTACTGGACCCTGACCTTGGGTACTGCTCATGACCAGCATAGCCATGTCTAGTGGTATCTCCAGACTGTCTGTGAGTAGTTCCCTGTCTCCTCGTATAACTTCGTTTAATGTATGCTATACGAAGTTATTACGACCCTGACCTTGGGTACTGCTCATGACCAGCATAGCCATGTCTAGTGGTATCTCCAGACTGTCTGTGAGTAGTTCCCTGTCTCCTCGTATAACTTCGTTTAATGTATGCTATACGAAGTTATTACGACCCTGACCTTGGGTACTGCTCATGACCAGCATAGCCATGTCTAGTGGTATCTCCAGACTGTCTGTGAGTAGTTCCCTGTCTCCTCGTATAACTTCGTTTAATGTATGCTATACGAAGTTATTACGACCCTGACCTTGGGTACTGCTCATGACCAGCATAGCCATGTCTAGTGGTATCTCCAGACTGTCTGTGAGTAGTTCCCTGTCTCCTCGTATAACTTCGTTTAATGTATGCTATACGAAGTTATTACGACCCTGACCTTGGGTACTGCTCATGACCAGCATAGCCATGTCTAGTGGTATCTCCAGACTGTCTGTGAGTAGTTCCCTGTCTCCTCGTATAACTTCGTTTAATGTATGCTATACGAAGTTATTACGACCCTGACCTTGGGTACTGCTCATGACCAGCATAGCCATGTCTAGTGGTATCTCCAGACTGTCTGTGAGTAGTTCCCTGTCTCCTCGTATAACTTCGTTTAATGTATGCTATACGAAGTTATTACGACCCTGACCTTGGGTACTGCTCATGACCAGCATAGCCATGTCTAGTGGTATCTCCAGACTGTCTGTGAGTAGTTCCCTGTCTCCTCGTATAACTTCGTTTAATGTATGCTATACGAAGTTATTACGACCCTGACCTTGGGTACTGCTCATGACCAGCATAGCCATGTCTAGTGGTATCTCCAGACTGTCTGTGAGTAGTTCCCTGTCTCCTCGTATAACTTCGTTTAATGTATGCTATACGAAGTTATTACGACCCTGACCTTGGGTACTGCTCATGACCAGCATAGCCATGTCTAGTGGTATCTCCAGACTGTCTGTGAGTAGTTCCCTGTCTCCTCGTATAACTTCGTTTAATGTATGCTATACGAAGTTATTACGACCCTGACCTTGGGTACTGCTCATGACCAGCATAGCCATGTCTAGTGGTATCTCCAGACTGTCTGTGAGTAGTTCCCTGTCTCCTCGTATAACTTCGTTTAATGTATGCTATACGAAGTTATTACGACCCTGACCTTGGGTACTGCTCATGACCAGCATAGCCATGTCTAGTGGTATCTCCAGACTGTCTGTGAGTAGTTCCCTGTCTCCTCGTATAACTTCGTTTAATGTATGCTATACGAAGTTATTACGACCCTGACCTTGGGTACTGCTCATGACCAGCATAGCCATGTCTAGTGGTATCTCCAGACTGTCTGTGAGTAGTTCCCTGTCTCCTCGTATAACTTCGTTTAATGTATGCTATACGAAGTTATTACGACCCTGACCTTGGGTACTGCTCATGACCAGCATAGCCATGTCTAGTGGTATCTCCAGACTGTCTGTGAGTAGTTCCCTGTCTCCTCGTATAACTTCGTTTAATGTATGCTATACGAAGTTATTACGACCCTGACCTTGGGTACTGCTCATGACCAGCATAGCCATGTCTAGTGGTATCTCCAGACTGTCTGTGAGTAGTTCCCTGTCTCCTCGTATAACTTCGTTTAATGTATGCTATACGAAGTTATTACGACCCTGACCTTGGGTACTGCTCATGACCAGCATAGCCATGTCTAGTGGTATCTCCAGACTGTCTGTGAGTAGTTCCCTGTCTCCTCGTATAACTTCGTTTAATGTATGCTATACGAAGTTATTACGACCCTGACCTTGGGTACTGCTCATGACCAGCATAGCCATGTCTAGTGGTATCTCCAGACTGTCTGTGAGTAGTTCCCTGTCTCCTCGTATAACTTCGTTTAATGTATGCTATACGAAGTTATTACGACCCTGACCTTGGGTACTGCTCATGACCAGCATAGCCATGTCTAGTGGTATCTCCAGACTGTCTGTGAGTAGTTCCCTGTCTCCTCGTATAACTTCGTTTAATGTATGCTATACGAAGTTATTACGACCCTGACCTTGGGTACTGCTCATGACCAGCATAGCCATGTCTAGTGGTATCTCCAGACTGTCTGTGAGTAGTTCCCTGTCTCCTCGTATAACTTCGTTTAATGTATGCTATACGAAGTTATTACGACCCTGACCTTGGGTACTGCTCATGACCAGCATAGCCATGTCTAGTGGTATCTCCAGACTGTCTGTGAGTAGTTCCCTGTCTCCTCGTATAACTTCGTTTAATGTATGCTATACGAAGTTATTACGACCCTGACCTTGGGTACTGCTCATGACCAGCATAGCCATGTCTAGTGGTATCTCCAGACTGTCTGTGAGTAGTTCCCTGTCTCCTCGTATAACTTCGTTTAATGTATGCTATACGAAGTTATTACGACCCTGACCTTGGGTACTGCTCATGACCAGCATAGCCATGTCTAGTGGTATCTCCAGACTGTCTGTGAGTAGTTCCCTGTCTCCTCGTATAACTTCGTTTAATGTATGCTATACGAAGTTATTACGACCCTGACCTTGGGTACTGCTCATGACCAGCATAGCCATGTCTAGTGGTATCTCCAGACTGTCTGTGAGTAGTTCCCTGTCTCCTCGTATAACTTCGTTTAATGTATGCTATACGAAGTTATTACGACCCTGACCTTGGGTACTGCTCATGACCAGCATAGCCATGTCTAGTGGTATCTCCAGACTGTCTGTGAGTAGTTCCCTGTCTCCTCGTATAACTTCGTTTAATGTATGCTATACGAAGTTATTACGACCCTGACCTTGGGTACTGCTCATGACCAGCATAGCCATGTCTAGTGGTATCTCCAGACTGTCTGTGAGTAGTTCCCTGTCTCCTCGTATAACTTCGTTTAATGTATGCTATACGAAGTTATTACGACCCTGACCTTGGGTACTGCTCATGACCAGCATAGCCATGTCTAGTGGTATCTCCAGACTGTCTGTGAGTAGTTCCCTGTCTCCTCGTATAACTTCGTTTAATGTATGCTATACGAAGTTATTACGACCCTGACCTTGGGTACTGCTCATGACCAGCATAGCCATGTCTAGTGGTATCTCCAGACTGTCTGTGAGTAGTTCCCTGTCTCCTCGTATAACTTCGTTTAATGTATGCTATACGAAGTTATTACGACCCTGACCTTGGGTACTGCTCATGACCAGCATAGCCATGTCTAGTGGTATCTCCAGACTGTCTGTGAGTAGTTCCCTGTCTCCTCGTATAACTTCGTTTAATGTATGCTATACGAAGTTATTACGACCCTGACCTTGGGTACTGCTCATGACCAGCATAGCCATGTCTAGTGGTATCTCCAGACTGTCTGTGAGTAGTTCCCTGTCTCCTCGTATAACTTCGTTTAATGTATGCTATACGAAGTTATTACGACCCTGACCTTGGGTACTGCTCATGACCAGCATAGCCATGTCTAGTGGTATCTCCAGACTGTCTGTGAGTAGTTCCCTGTCTCCTCGTATAACTTCGTTTAATGTATGCTATACGAAGTTATTACGACCCTGACCTTGGGTACTGCTCATGACCAGCATAGCCATGTCTAGTGGTATCTCCAGACTGTCTGTGAGTAGTTCCCTGTCTCCTCGTATAACTTCGTTTAATGTATGCTATACGAAGTTATTACGACCCTGACCTTGGGTACTGCTCATGACCAGCATAGCCATGTCTAGTGGTATCTCCAGACTGTCTGTGAGTAGTTCCCTGTCTCCTCGTATAACTTCGTTTAATGTATGCTATACGAAGTTATTACGTGGATTCTGAGTGTCTGGGTGAGGCTCCTGAGTGCTCTTCACTATCACTGACCTGGCTGTGACTAGACCCCCTTCCTCCGACGACTGGCCTGAGCCAGACCCATGCTGGCCGTAGCCAGAAGACTGACCATAGCCCGACCCTTGCTGGCCGTAGCCAGATGACTGGCCTGAGCCAGACCCATGCTGGCCGTAGCCAGACAACTGGCCTGAGCCAGACCCATGCTGGCCGTAGCCAGACAACTGGCCTGAGCCAGACCCATGCTGGCCGTAGCCAGAAGACTGACCATAGCCTGACCCATGCTGGCCGTAGCCAGATGACTGGCCTGAGCCAGACCCATGCTGGCCGTAGCCAGATGACTGGCCTGAGCCAGACCCATGCTGGCCGTAGCCAGATGACTGACCTGAGCCCGACCCATGCTGGCCGTAGCCAGAAGACTGACCATAGCCTGACCCGTGCTGGCCGTATCCTGACGTCTGACCTGATCCAGACCCGTGCTGGCCATAGCCAGATGTCTGACCTGAGCCAGACCCATGCTGGCCGTAGCCAGACGTTTGACCTGAGCCAGACCCATGCTGGCCGTAGCCAGACGTTTGACCTGAGCCAGACCCGTGCTGGCCATAGCCAGAGGACTGACCTGAGCTAGACCCGTGCTGGCCATAGCCAGAAGACTGACCTGAGCTAGACCCGTGCTGGCCATAGCCAGAGGACTGGCCTGAACGAGACCCGTGCTGGCCGTAGCCAGACAACTGGCCTGAGCCAGACCCGTGCTGGCCGTAGCCAGAGGACTGACCTGATCCAGTCCCTTGCTGGCCGTAGCCTGACGACTGACCTGATCCAGTCCTGTGCTGGCTGTATCCTGATGACTGACCTGATCCAGACCCGTGCTGGCCATAGCCAGATGACTGACCTGATCCAGTCCCTTGCTGGCCATAGCCTGACAAATGACCTGATCCAGACTCATGCTGGCCGTAGCCAGAGGACTGGGCTGAGCCAGACCCGTGCTGGCCATAGCCAGTCGTCTGACCTGATTCAGACCCGTGCTGGCCATATCCAGAGGACAGGGCTGAGCCAGACCCATGCTGGCTGTGGCCAGACGAATGACCTGATCCAGATCCATAGTGTGCATAACCAGACGACTGACCTGAGCCTGACCCCTGCTGGCCATAGCCAGAAGACTGACCATAGCCCGACCCATGCTGGCCATAGCCAGAAGACTGACCTGAGCCAGACCCGTGCTGGCCGTAGCCAGAGGACTGACCTGATCCAGACCCGTGCTGGCTGTAGCCTGACGACTGACCTGATCCAGACCCGTGCTGGCCGTAGCCAGACGACTGGCTTGAGCCAGACCCATGCTGGCCATAGCCAGAGGACTGGCCTGAGCCAGACCTGTGCTGGCCATAGCCAGAGGACTGACCTGATCCAGTCCCATGCTGGCCATATCCTGACGACTGACCTGATCCAGACCCGTGCTGGCCATAGCCAGATGACTGACCTGATCCAGTCCCTTGCTGGCCGTAGCCTGACGAATGACCTGATCCAGACCCATGCTGGCCGTAGCCAGAGGACTGGGCTGAGCCAGACCCATGCTGGCCATAGCCAGTCGTCTGACCTGATTCAGACCCATGCTGGCCATAGCCAGAGGACTGGCCTGAGCCAGACCCTTGCTGGCTGTGGCCAGACGAATGACCTGATCCAGTCCCTTGTTGGCCAAAGCCAGACATCTGACCTGATTCAGACCCATGCTGGCCATAGCCAGACGACTGGCCTGAGCCAGACCCATGCTGTCCAAAGCCAGAGGACTGACCTGAGCCAGACCCATGTTTTTCAAAGCCAGATGACTGACCTGAGCTAGTCCCATGTTTGCCATAGCCACATGACTGACTTGATCCTGACCCTTGTTGTCCACAGCCAGGCTGACATGATCTAGATCCATGTTGTCTATAGCCAGAGGGCTGACTTAAGCCTGTTCTATGTTGTTCATAGGTACAGGACTGATCTGAACCAGACCCATGTTGACTACATTTGGAAAATTCTTTTGAACAGGACCCTTTTTGATGTGAGTTTGAATAGCGTCCACAGGAACCTGATCTATGTTGACCATAACTAGAACATTGACTTGTTCCTGACCCATATTGTCCATGGCAAGAGGAATGACTTGAGCCTGTTCCCTGTTGTCCTCCACAGTTCTGTGCTTGACCACATTCTCTAGATCCATATCTTCTCCTACTAGGAGACTGGCTACAGGATCTAGGCTCAAGTTGACCATATCCAGAGGACTGACCTTCTGAGATACACACCTGACCTTGTCCTCCACTACTTCCTGGTTGACAGTCTGGTTGGGTACAGCTAGATTGATTTCCTTGTACTCCAAATCTACTTGTCTGACAAGAACTAGAAGCATTTTGTGACCTTCCACACCCTCCTGAATTGCTGTAACCACATACATGACTTTGCCTCACACTATCTCCTGAACCTGCAGAGCTACACTCAAGATATCCTCCAGTCCTTCTTGACTGAGTAGAGTTTGACTCATGCCCATTGGTCTCCAATTCATGTGACAGACCACCCTGTCCTTTCCTTCCCCAACTCTCTGATTCAGATCCAGATTCATATTCCTCCCCAGATTCCCTAGAGGGGCGAACATGTGACTTGCTTCTTCTTTCTCCCAGCTCTCCAGAGCTGGAACCATGTCTGTCTTTGCCACTACTCCATGAATGACCAGAGCTAGACCCCCGGCGTCTTTTCTCAGATCCCTCTTGATTCTCTGAGCTGGAAAAATCACCTCGCCTTCCCAACCTCCTAGAGTTGGACCCATGTCTATGTTTTCTAGTTTCCCTCAAGCCCCCAGAATTATATCCATACTTCTCTCCCTCACTCCAACTTGAATGTCTGTAACCTGATTTCTGTCCTGGTGTCTCTTCTTCCTCTTCTGTTTCACTTTCTTCCTCTTGGTGTCGGTGACCATGCCTACGCTTCTTTGACCCTGAAGCTTTGCAGTATTCTTTGCTGAGAACCTTGTTGCAGGCCATAGCCAGCTTGAATATCATCAGAAGAAACTCAGTAAAGTCCAGTCTTCGATCATGATCTCTATCCAGCATATGCATGATGACATCCACTGTGTCTGGATCATCTGGGTTCTGTATATGAGTGACACACCAATGAAGACCTGGTCAGTCTAGCCCACATATTCAGCTAAAACATTCAAGTAGGGATGTGGAATTGTGGATGTTTGACCTTATGCAGTTTTAATCCAATGGAGGATTACTTTAGGGGTAATAGAAAGTAAAGACTATTGGGATCCTTGAAAGAAGACATTTCAAGGATCTAAACTAGAGATTAAGTGCTCAGGTATGACATATAAGAAGGAGTGAAATAAACATCCTTGAAAGAAGACATTTCAAGGATCTAAACTAGAGATTAAGTGCTCAGGTATGACATATGAGAAGGAGTGAAATAAAGTTCAGTAACTGGTGTATCTTAGTTTTACATAAATTTTACATATTACATATTAACATATTCTGCTAGGATCTGTTATTTTGAAGTAAATAGCTGAGTGCTTCCTAAGTAGATGGAAAAAATGCATGTATTTTGTTTTCAGTTTGTAATCATCCTAGCTACTTTGTTAGCTTCTCTTGTAGATGATTTCTTTCTATATACGTTTTTCCCATTTGATAGAGTAATTTATTAATTCATGTCTTAGCACAAATTTATTTTCTGCTTTTTCAGAAGGAGAAACCTGGCCACACAAGAAAGTCTGGGGTCTAGCAAGTGGGAATGCACAGGAAGGTGAGGAAGAAACATTCACCTTCTTTAAAATACATGCTGCCTTAACAGACTTTCTGATGTCCCCAAAATACTGTTCATAGAGTTTGCTCAAAGACCACTGTAACTGTGAACTTTTTAGCTAATATTGATTATGTAACAGAGCATGTATAGGACTCCAGCTGACTTTATTCCTGCTACATGGTTCTCACCTTCAGAATTGGACGAAACTCTTTCTCAAGAAGTTCCTTTAGCTCATCCTTGCTCAGTGTGCTACATTCCCCATCTTGGTTGGTGTATTTATAGAAAATATCAATGACGGTGACAACACTTCTCAAGAGGTCGGTCATCTTTTTACAAGTTTAAGTGAACCTGGAAAGAAAAAAACAAAAGACTCTGCCTATTATTCATTTTCTTTCTCTTTAATTTATCAGCAGTTCTCATTTTAATAATAATCATTATGATTTTTCAAACCTCTTGTTTCTTTTGAACCTCAACAAGTAAGGATGGATCAGGGATGATCCAATACCTTTAACACAGTAAAAATTAACTTTGTTAACTTTGAGTTACTTTGCTGAGATCCAGTCATGGCATGTTATTGGCCCAACTGGGAATAGATCTTAGGTCTCCATATTTCTTGTCCTGGATGAATTTGGTCTCTTTATAATGTCTCTACACTTTGGGTACTTTGGTGTCCTGAGTGTTGTCCTAGGGCTTCCAGACTTTCCAGAAACAGCCAGATGCCATTTCCCCAATCTCTCTAATTTTATTGCTTTTTTGAGTCAAATGTGACATGCCTTCCAGCATGTGCATCTATTTTCTCTCTGGGCACCAGAAGCTGAACTAGACCCTTATGGCCTTCAGCAAATGGGCAAAGTGGGCCAATAATATCTTAGTGCTTCAGAGGCATGAGGTAGCCCTTGTCAGAGCTCAGAAACTAGCCTAACCTCAACACTTAAGCAAACACTGTTCTCTTTCATCAGTCAGGGAGAAAAGCTTAGCAATACAGGTAGCAGTTTGACTGGTGGATAATTAGATCTGGGAGCTCTGGAAAGCAACACTGAACAAGGGACTCTACAACAGCACCAGCCTCCTCCCTATTTGAGCTGTACAGCCCCAGAAAAGGTGGTATACAGAAAGACTGGCCTAGAAGAAGGCAAACCTCTACTTTTTTTTTTTTGGTGCTGGCTTGTATGGGGATCTGAACCCTTGACATGTGTGTTTTAACACTGTGCTCTACCAACTGAGCCAACCCACCATCTCCTGAACTTCTACTTGCATTATTCTTCTCCATAAAGACAAACTTCTTCCAAAAAGACCCCAGAATAAACTAACTTAACCAAACAAACGAGCACACAAAAAGGAAAACAATGAATAAACAAACAGAAAGCAAGGCAAAGTACTCATATATATGAACTCTGCCTTAGCTAATACCAACTATCCAGAGATGTAGCTGGATGAATTTTCTCTCACCTGGTTCACCAAAGGAACACGTAGGATAAAGCCTGATGGAGCTTGCAGGGTGATGATGGATTGGGATAGTGGCCCTTATATAGTTTATAACATGTAGGTGCTGCTCTCTGTGGGGTGTGCTGATTCATCTCCAATCAAACCTAACTCCACCTCTCTACATGTTTATCTTCCTCCTTCTTCACATTCTCATCTGTAAGATAATTGCAGAAAGGCTGGTACCAGCCCCACCTTCCAGTATGAGGACATGTTGCAGGACACTTTTTTTCAGGGTCATACACGTGTGAAAAGTAGAGATTTTTAGAGAACTTGTATAATTCATTTTCTTTATCTAATACCCAAAGAAAGTTGCAGGGTGTGAGATACTTGGCAGTTGCACCATAAATGCTTATTTAATTGAAAATGAACCTCAGCCTTTAGCTCACCTAATTCATATCTTTTTTTTGATAACAATAACTGCCATTTGTTGAGAATTTATTATGTTAGATAGTGTACTGAGTACGTCTCACATGTCATCTCATTTAATCTTCACAACATTTCTATGGGATATATATATATATATATATATATATATATATATATATATCCCATTTAACAGATGAAGAGACAGGTTTAGAAAGCATAAGAGTGTTCTCCAAATTCATAGCTAGTAGGTGGAGGAACCAGTATTTGAATCTAAATCTACCTTATTACAATGCCATTGCTTTTAGCCACTATACTGGCTTAACTCTATGTATTTATAACATATAGCTATTATGCAAAAATTATACACCTTTTTAGGAGTGTCAGGCCCTCCCAAACACAAGTAATATGAAAGGGTAATATAAGGAGTGCTGTCAGCCAGGAAGAGAAGAGACATTCTTTGACCCTGTGAAGGCCCTTTTCTAAAATATGAAAGTATAATGTGCTATATAAAAAAATAATGTTTTTAGAAATGTTCAAGGTGAATTTAGAATGGGCTTTCTTCCAGTACCTTGATATCCATTGGTAGTCTGGCATCCTTGAGCTTGGACTCTTGGTTTTTAGTATATGCAGAGAATTCTGCAAGCAAGTCATTGTTCTTTCTTATGTTATCTGTATCCTTATGTAAGTTTCCTTACTTCTCTGTTGTTCCATGTTCCCTCTATAATAACCATAAGGTGTTATTAGAGTCAGGGTACAAGTGGACACATATCGGGTCATTTCAAGCTGCAACTCTGGAGAACAATTACTGTCTCTGTTTCACAGAGGCCCAAGCACAATTTGGAAAGGAATCAAAGTGCTGGTTTCTAAGGATTAACTTGATACCTGTAGAGACTTTTGCTTGCCTGGGTTCTGAAAGCTTTTGTAGTCAAAGGAAGCTGAAGCCTACAGTCCAGAGGTAGGACACAATGTTAACTACACAATTTCTCTGTGTCTAGGCCTCTTTCCTGCCATATTGTATTTATCTCATCAGTCTCTTCTCATCCCGCAGCCACATTGCTCTGGGGTCTTGAGTGACTACCAGATTCTTTGATTATAGGCCCATATGGTGAAACTTATGCACTATTGGCCACTGGATTGTCTTGAAGAGGAAGCTATACCTTAGAATATTAAAAGCAACTTTATTTATTTATTTTTTTAATTTTAATTTTAATTTTAATTTTATTTTATTTTGTCAATATACAATGTTGTTGATTATTGTGGCCCATTACCAAAACCTCCCTCCCTCCTCCCTCTCCCCCCTCCCTCCCAACAATATCCTTTCTGTTTGCTTGTTGTTTCAACTTCAAGGAATTGTAATTGTTGTGTCTTCTCCCCACCCCCCATTGTTTTTGTATTTATTTATTTATTTCTAGCTCCCACAAATAAGTGAGAACATGTGATATTTCTCTTTCTGTGCCTGACTCGTTTCACTTAATATAATTCTCTCAAGGTCCATCCATGTTGTTGCAAATGGCAGTATTTCATTAGTTTTTATAGCTGAGTAGTATTCCATTGTGTAGATATACCACATTTTCCGTATCCACTCATCTGATGATGGACATTTGCGCTGGTTCCAACTCTTAGCTATTGTAAAGATTGCTGCAATGAACATTGGGGAACAGGTATACCTTTGACTTGATGATTTCCATTGCTCTGGGTATATTCCCAGCAGTGGGATAGCTGGGTCATATGGTAGTTCTATCTGCAATTGTTTGAGGAACCTCCATACCATTTTCCATAGAGGCTGCACCATTTTGCAGTCCCACCGACAATGTATGAGAGTTCCTTTTTCTCTGCAACCTCGCCAGTATTTATAATTCACAGTCTTTTGGATATTAGCCATCCTAATTGGGGTGAGATGGTACCTCAGTGTGGTTTTGATTTGCATTTCCCGAATGCTGAGTGATGTTGAGCATTTTGTTATGTCTCTGTTGGCCATTTGTATATCTTCCTTTGAGAAATGCCTATTTAGCTCTTTTGCCCATTTTTTAATTGGGTTACTTGTTTTTTTGTTGTAAAGTTGTTTCAGTTCTTTGTATATTCTGGATATTAATCCTTTGTCAAATGTATACTTTGCAAATATTTTCTCCCACTCTGTTGATTGTCTTTTAACTCTGTTAATTGTTTCTTTTGCTGTGCAGAAGCTTTTTATATAGTTTGATATAATCCCATTTGTTTATTTTTCCTTTGGTTGCCCATGCTTTTGGGGTCATATTCATGAAGTCTTTGCCCAGTCCTACTTCCTGAAGTGTTTCTCCTATGTTTTCTTTGAGAATTTTTATTGTTTCAGGGTGTGTATTTAATTCTTTAATTCATTTTGAGTTGATTTTGGTATGTGGTGAGAGGTATGGGTCTAATTGTTTTTTTGTTGTAAAGTTGTTTCAGTTCTTTGTATATTCTGGATATTAATCCTTTGTCAAATGTATACTATCCAGTTATCCCAGCACCACTTGCTGAAGAGGCAGTCTCTTCCCCAGTGTTTAGGCTTGGTGCCTTTGTCAAAGATCAGATGGCTGTAGGTGTGTGGGTTGATTTCCGGATGCTCTATTCTATTCCATTGATCAGTGTGTCTGTTTTTATTCCAGTACCATGCTGTTTTGGTTATTATAGCTTTGTAGTATAGTTTAAAGTCTGGTAGTGTTATGCCTCCAGCTTTATATTTTTGCTCAGAATTGCTTTGGCTATGCGTGGTCTTTTGTTATTTCAGATAACTATCTAGATAGTTCTTTCCATTTCTGAGAAAAATGTCATTGGAATTTTGATGG